CCCTTAAAACCATCAAAACCTCATATCTGAGATTATAATAAGAGTGCTGATCTACACTTGAAAGAGGAGGAGATTGTTTCAACCTGTTATGTACCCAGTAATATGCTGTCTGAAGATACAAAAAGATCTTTACAGGTAATAAATACCCCAAATTCTGAATATATTCATGATAGTAAAGAAACAGAAAAGCGCTGTACCTAAAATCACATGTTAATCAAAATAAAGCATACGTATGAAAATTTGGCATGAGACATTTTTTACGGCTAGGAAGTCCTTGAGTACAAAGCATTTTAGGCTTATTAAAAGTATATAAGGAAGCTTGTAGTATATGCTTCAAAGCAAGACATTGGCAGCTCTCTTGCATCCAGAACACAGCATCAGAATCTTGAATAACTTGGCTGATGCTTCTGGCACTCAGACCTCTCTCACAAAGATGGTTGTGCTGGAGATGTTGGTTGACAACAAGATAGTTGTGTAGCACCGGCTGTTTTCAGGTGAGCGGAGGGACCTGTAACAGCACCATGCAAAGTAGATGGCTGCTCCAAGAAGTCTCAAAAATTAGGAGGGGGCGGTAAGAACCGTGATTTGCATGTGGCTATTAGCATTAATAGGGATTTTCCTCTGATAAGCTCCTTTCCGTCTTATTCCCATTCTTCCCTCTTATCTCAATTCACAAGATGTGGGATTCACACGCAACGAGGGTTCAGTCATTTGTTGGCCACTTGCGTAAGCCACTTTAGATAAAATTTAAAAGCTGCTTCAAATAAACTGTGTAAGATCAAATATATCAGCAAGGAAAAAAATAAAGTACACCTTCTCCACAATGACAATCCCCATCGACCTACTCCAGTCACAGTGAATTTAGCAGTTTCACACTAGTAGATCCTCTAAGGCCTGACAGTTACTTTGGTAGGCACTAAATGTGATGCAGTCTTACAGTATGTAGAAAAAATTAGTTAAACAGAGTCTAGGATTTAAATTCTTTTCAAAGGCTTCAAAAATTTTCAACCAGAAGCAGCCAAAAGGAACAATATTTTATTAGGAAACTTGTAAGTCTCTTATATGGTCAAAAAAATTTTATTTCTTTTGAACGAGTGTCAAAAGTTCACCTTTCTGCCTCTTCATAATTTAAAGCTTAGGTTCCAGATCTTTTAACAAGCCCTTTACTTATTCATTATTTTTATCTTTGGACATAGTTATTAGAATAATTTAGTATTTCTGTTTCCTATTGAACACCTCGTAATAAACATCACTATATTTGCAGCAACATATATAAGAAAGAAAGCATCTCACTGGCATATTAAAGTTTAGCCTAATCAACCGTATTCCTCTTTATTCACGCATCAGAGAATCACATAAGCTAGAATGGTAATAGCAAGCAGACCACAAAGACTTAATGTGTATGCCTGCATAGAAACAGTCTTCTTTGCCTCAGTCAAATTAAAAATATCTTGAGGGAAGCAGCTTGCATTTCCCATTAAAATCTTTGGATTGTGCCATAGCTGAAGGAGAAAGAAAACCTAATACTAATACAATTTAGGCTTCAAGTGCCTAGATAAGCTGATTTCCTAAGATTTTGTCTAGCATTTCTTAATCAGGTAAGATTAATTTCTAAATACAGGCAGACATGTATTACTGGCTTTTCTTCTCTCCACTCCATGCCCAACACGGGCACTACATTCTGTGGCATTCCCAGGAAGCTCTTCACGATAACAGGTTTGCTTTACAAATCGTCTCAGAAAAAAACGTTTTCCTGAACCCCTCCTTTCCAAATTGAAGAGAGCTCTTAGGCAGGATATACTATGGCATCCAACACTGGCTCCACTTATATTTCCACTGAAGTCAATGAGAACATTCCCATCAGCTGTAATGAAATGTGAATTCATACCTACTGGTTCTGAAATCCCATCCACTGACTCCCATCTTAAACCAGGCCAGCGTATTTCAGCACAGTGATCTAATTAGAGACACATGCATACCTTCACTACTGTAATTTAATGGAAATTACAGAAACTTTTTAATTTGCATCATCAAGGATGCAGGTACTTCTGAATTAGATTTCACAAAGCCAAAACACACTAATTCCAGCCCTTCAGTGTTCAGGTCTCAAGAAAAAGACTCTCACCAATCACAAGCCCCCCTTCTCTAAAATCATATTTGAATAATGACATTATTCATCCTCTGCTTTCTATTTGCCTGAATTAAAACAGAAGTCCAGAGAAAAAGGATGAGTCTGCTCTTTGCCAGCCCTCTTCCTCATCTCACACACATGCCTAATTCCTCTGTCCCAGGGCTAGTGTGTTCCTGAGCTTTGTATGTTTTGGCTTTTAGAAGAATCATAGAACGATTTGGGTTGAGGGCACTTCCCAGTTATCTGGTAAAATTCAGAAAGTGGGGTTTTGTTCTCCTTAGTCAATAGTTTTTGCCTTATCAATGCAGCAAACTTGAAAGCTTTCAAGAATTTTTTAAAAAGTTTTGTAAGACTGTCATGACTTAAACATCATGCTTACAGACAAGTGAACTACCCAAATCCCTTGTATTACTTTCCAGCCCAGTCAGATACGATTGTAACAATCATACTATTGCTTCCTAACTGTATTAAATGTTCCTCGGGAGGCAGAACAAAATTTCACCAGCAGTGAGCTCAGTTTATTACTTCTAATGTTCATTAAGAGTCTAACTTTGACATTCTGAATTTTTATTTAGCGTCAATGACAGACTGAATATTGCAGAGTACAGAAAAAAATAGGTTACATTCGATGGGATACATGAGTGAATGACATGGTGGGAAGTCAGAGGTGAGAAGAAAAAAAAAGGTTTAAAAGGTATGTTTTGAAGTCACTTCATCAGAATGTCATGGATAGGTGCTTTTTTATTTTTCTAAGAAGCATACAGGCAGTAAGCAACACCTGCACAAGTTCAGGAAATGTTTTTCTAGACAAGATCTTACACCTGTCAAGTTGCCAAACTATTCTGTGATCTTTTAAGAAAAAGCTAGGCAGAGATAAGGCATGCTCTATTGTTACAAGCATTTAATTTAATATTGGGTATGCTCTCTTGTTACACTCTATAGGCAGAAAATACACTGCACCTGTAAAAGCACAGATCCTAGACTCTGGGCTGGCTTTCACTTCAAATTCAAATAAAATCCAAGCATGGACTTTTCAGGATGGGTGACTGCAAAGAGGCTACTCCACTCATTATATATTATGAAGTAACAGACCTAGAATCTCACAGCCTTCCCTGTCCTGGCTGTTGTACCTGCCCCTAAATGATCGTAGATCAATGTTTCCAAGCCAGGATGCTTATATCCAACAAGAGCTGCAGGTGTTTAGCAGCTGAGAATAAAGATAATCTTATCTTAATGTGTACGTAGAAGATAAGAATCTTCTGTTCAGTTCAGAAGTTCCATAACACATGTGCCCTATTAACCCAATTTAACAGGAACATATATTTGTGCTCTGTATTGGGTGAATATGAGGAAGCATTTGTTTGTAGTTCAAGCACAGGAAACCACCTCTCGTGGTACTACAAGCTAAGTTTCATTTTTCATAAGAACACACACAACAAAGATGCCACAACAAAGGATGAGAAGATGTGCATAGAAGGAATAGGATACACACGCACGTATGGAAAATATGAGTGGTGGGAATAAGAGACCAACTGGAAGGGAAAGTATGGCCTGAGGAAGCCTAAGTTACAAGCAGATAGGCAAGCCAATGAGAAAGTATCTGCACATCAGTTTCTATCTGATTTTAATGAGAGAGGTTTAAATCCAGCATGGCTGAAAAGACTGAAAAACCTTGTTTAAACAGAAACTTAATTCCAAGCTAATACACAGAAAATCTGGTAATATTTAAATGAAATATACTTGATGCAAATTTTTCCCTTGATAGTAAAAATACAATGGGTCTGACCCTACCCCAAACAATATATACAAATTAATGGAGAGCGGATTCAATGCAGAATGACTGCTGGTTCTGCTCCAGCTACTCCCTCAATCCTGTCTTACTCCCTCAAGCCCCCAGCAAAGCTGCTAGCAGCCAGGCACTTGCCACACAGTGCCCTCATGCTGTGTACCCAGGAAGCCAGCAAAAGCCCATTTCCTCAGTCAGGCCTAAGGTGTCCAGCTCCTTGCCCTGTGCGCCCTGCCCTTCAGCCAGACCCACCTGGCCAGCCTCAAGCAGCTCTCCTCAAAGCTCAGCTCAGCTCCTCCCATCACAAGGATTAATGTGTGCACTTTAGCTTTTAATTTCCTAGCTCCACAAAGCTTCAAATTGGAGTCATCCTCAGCCTGTCCCCAACCCTTCCAGATACTTACTGAAGCAAGAAGATATTCCCACCACGCACTACTCAGCATCCTAAAAGGCATGCTTTGTTTCAAGGCAAGCCAAGTAAGTTTGGTTTAGAGGACTTACAAATTTCCTACTCCTTTCCCTAGAAAGGAGTTCTCAGAGAGGTATAAGGTGACATATTTTTAATTAGTTTTCTAAGCACACCCAAAGAATCATCAGCTGATAATGTAAAATGCAAAATAAGTATCATCTTAATTTTGACTTTTTTTCTGCATTTCGCAACCAAATGGCTCCTATCACAACTGCTATGTCAGAAAAGAACTATGATTCATTTTAAGGAGAGCCAATAAAATGCAAATAAAACCTAGGAATGTATTAATCAGTAACCACTACACACACATAGGTATAGTACACATCAAAAAAGCTACACCAGTTATTCATTAATCAGAGTGTACAGCAAATCAGTTCTACAAGTCCACCTAATTCCAGCCATCACTAAAGAAGAGGGAACTGTTCCTTTCTAAAAGTAATCACTACCTATCAGCTGAATTATTCTTATACAACTGATATACCTAAACTGAGCATCAAATAAACCAGTCCCCTGAAAGTTGTCTTAAAATAGTGGCACATATTTCTTGGCTTGCATAGAAGCGCAGCATTCAGTTTACAACACAGCATTGCTCAGCTTTGCAACGTGGTCTACTTACATGTTTGCATAAATCTGGCTATGAAACAGCAGCTCGTATGCCTACCATGAAGCCACACAGGTTAACACTGAAAATTGTGAAGCAAGCAGAGTTAGAGCTGTTCTTATAATAATCTGGGAATACTTACTCAGTTGGGGGTTCTTGCCAGTGAATACACTGATACGATCTGAGGGTATATGTGGGGGGATGCTGGGAAAAAAAAAGTAGGTGGAGGAAAAAAACAAAAGCAGCCTCCAAGGACTGATACGTGAGATGCACAAACCACTGCAGATAAACAGAAGCTCTCTGTTTCTAGCCTGTGCTGACCCAAAGCATCCTGAGCTAGGACACCCTTTTATTTGGCTTGATGTTAAGATGCTCACATGGCTTTTGGTACTGCCTCAGTGTGCAGGTTGGTTAAGCTTATAAGGTCCCTGCCACATACTGCATAAACAAGCACAGGGCTTCCCATGGCAATAGTTGATTCTACAAGCAAGAGAGCTACAGAAACCCATGCCAAAGAGGCAAAGTCACAAGGTTTAGCACTTGCAGGACAACAATTTTGACCAAATGTGCTAAAAGACAGTGTCATCCAAGATGATTGGTAAGATGAAATAATATCTTGACTACTTTAAGATGCTCCACTAAGAGCATTTGAGTTTATTTTAAGAATCACTTGTCTTTTCTTAACATATTATAAAATCAAAGAACTAGTGTGATTCCAATTCCCTCACTATCTTTTTAGAGCAAAATATCCATGACAAACCAGACCAGTCAGTACATATCAGTACCTGCACACATCACAGGAGTTCACCTCACTTACATTTCCATCATGATTGGGGCAGGAAAGCGGTTTGCCCGCAGCAACAGCGGTGACAGTCTCCAAGATGGAGGACTCTTCAATGCTGTTGTCTGGTGTTCGCTGCAGGACATCCATCAGGTTGGTGATAAAGAAGTTGTTCTGGAGTGCAGAAACCCCTTTCTCTGGCAGAATGGAGGTCTGGCGGCACACGGGGCAAGAAAGGGTTAAGCTATGGGCTGGAATGTAATTCTGTAAGCACCTATGGGGAAGGGAGGTGGAAGGGGAGAAAGAGAGAGGCAAAATATCACCAAAGAGGAAAAAAACTCTCTTCAGTTTAAGAACTGGTTTGAAATAGTGCTACCCCTACTTATAAAAGGAAAGGTACATCACCAGACTTCAGAAATGGTTATGGGGATTTTTTTTCCCTTTAAATCTTTTTTCCTCTGCCATATGAAAAAAAGGTTCAATAAGCTGACATCATTGTAAGAGTTACGTGCCTGCCTTTGAGATATTTGTGCAGAGTGGATCCATGCTTCCCGACATCTACTGCATCCTGCTCATAGGATAGTAAAAGTAATAAACTATCAGATGAAGTTTGACAGACACAAAGTTATTGCATCAAGTATTTGAGCCTGTGCCTTTAACTGACTAACCGGTAGTTGACCCTTGTCTTTTCAATAGAACCTCCTTTATTAACTTATATTTGTGGGGTTAGTGTTTCAGAGCTAAAACCTGGTCCCAATGAAACCAATGGAAATTTTTCCATTTATTTCAATTAGGAAAGTTATTTGTCAGTTAGCCAGAATCAACAGAGCTCTCTTTACTACATAGAGAAGCATGTCCTAGGTTATCATAGTTTATGTTAAGGGAAGCTTTGGAGGAGATTGTTTTCACTTTGTGTGTGTGTGTGGGGGGTGGTGTTGGGGTTTTTTTAGAAAAACTAAATTTCACAGAATATAAAGCTGACAAAAGTTCTGTGATCAACAATATGCAGCTGACTGGTATAGGTGACAGTGTCCAACTTTTGGCCTCGAAAACCAATTTAACAGCTGCTGGGCATGCAACATCGAACTGCAATTGACAATTCAGCATAGTCCCGTAAGCACAGGAAGCTTTGCAGAATGCAATTCTTAAGGAGTCTAAAATAGGAGTGGTGCTACACCATATTCTTCATGAGATGCCAACCAAGAAAGTGTGACCTCGCACAGCTACACAGCTCTTATCTGCTTCCGAGGGCTTTGCTTGCACCACTGTTCATCCTACCTCGGCAGCTCTCCTCCTGACCCCCCAATAAGGGCTCTGTGAAAGGAGAGCTTAGGCTTTGTACATCAGCAGTACACTGGAAGAGTTCTTCCAGCCTCTCTCCATAACCAGATCAGCATAAGAGGCTTACAGTGAAAACCAGAAGCTGACCTTAGGATTTACACATGAACTGAAGTCAAGAAACTTAAGACACGGTGGTGAAAATCTTGACTTCACTGACTTCAGTGACAGCTTCACTGCTGAATTCAGCAAAGTTGGGGTTTCCTATTCTTCCACAAAAGACAATTTAATCTGATACACTCAGAGATCCACAATTTTTCTTGTACGCTGTGCAAAATTAAATATACACACTGCAATTCTAAGAGGTGGAAATCTTCTGAACTATATGTTCACACAAAATACCGTTTATTGTAATTCTCATGCTATTCAATATATAACTCACAGAGTTCCATCCCATCATCAGATAAACAACCCTAACCAACAATTCTTCAGATAACTTTTCTGCAGATGCTGTATTCCCTCCACCATTTGATAGATAATACAACATTAAAATATCACTAAGTATATTTAATTCATTCAGCTGAATACAGTAGAAGGCAGGTTGCTGTTTTATCACATCTCCTTTCAGAGTTTTTCCATTTCAGTCAACCAAGCTGCAGAATAATGAAGACACTTAATCACTGATTATCAATAATGTACATATCATGTCTCACCCTTAGACATTACAGTATGGGATAATTATTTATCTGCTTAGTAAATCAACAAAGAAAGGTTTTTATTATTTCTAATTATAGAATAATCAGTATAAATTTGAGACCATTAATTTGAGGTCCAAATTCTGACTGCCATCACCTTTCACACTGTTGTTACTGTATTCATTAGTTTAATTTGACATACTTCTTATTTATTCTTGCATCAAGGGAATGTATTCCAAATATTCACTGCTGTCTCTTCTTTCTGCCTCCACAAATAACTGTTTTTCTACATCCCTGCCTCTCCAGCCTTCCCAGACTTTACTGTACCTTAACAGGACCTTTACAAGTAAAGAGAAAAGTCTCTCTCCACTAAAGGTTGCGGAGTTCTGTGCTTGTTTGAAGACCTAGTTACAAGCATGAGGAAAGGTCTTACCTCTCACAGAAAGTGTGCAGGCAGGGAAGTACTTTGGGGTTCTTGTAACGATCCAGGCATATGCTGCAAATCAGAAACTGCTTGTCAATCTGACGGACCACAGGACTTGGGATGTTGGAGCCTTCACTGGCCATCCTAGACCACTGACATATGGGTCCTGTTCCCTTCTACCCTGCACACTGCTAGAGTGGGGAGGAGAAAAATTAAAAAAAAAAAAAAAAAAGAAGGAAAAATGGCTTATAAACTCCATGAAATAACAAATCAGCAACTAATTCGCTCATGTTTCACCCTTATGAGGAATTAAAATTTCCATATAAAACCAAAACAGTCAAGAATTAAATTTCTAAAATGGTTCATTAGTGATGAGAGCCGGGGAAACAGTCAGCCAAGTCTACAACACCACACATAACACCTCTGTCTGAGCAGACATCCTGGAAAGGCATGTTGCTTCTGGACTGAAAGAGTTACAGGGCTGTCTGGTTTTAAAGAAATCACATGATAAAAATGTTCTTGCGCCAGTAGGTTCAGCCAGTGCTAACAAACATAGGATTTCTCACATATAGAGTACCGCTGTCAAAATGCTTAACTGGAACTGCATCAGCCAGTCAAATGGCTGTGTCACAAAATTTGAAAATTGTTCACCTAACATTATTTTTCCTGTCTCAGTGCTGGTATTGCCAAAGATATGGTAGGTTTGGACTCCAGGAAGACCCCAAGAAGGAATCTCCAGAACCACCCAGCCCCTGAGAAGGGAGTGCTCCAATTCTGCATCAGCAACAGCTGGGGAGGGTAGGTGGAATGAAAAGCCTCACGATACACTGAGCAAAGAAGAGGCAACTGATAGCTGCTGAGAATCAGCAAAGGCAGGGTGAAGGATACATGAAGCATATCCAAATAATAAATGCAAGAAAAACGGCACTCTAGGCAGAAAGAGTAGTAAGAAATACGTTTCTAGGACTGAAGACTCTTCGTAACCCTAGCATAAAACCCATGAATTAAAAGGGTAAGAAAAAAAAATCTACCGACTGACAGAATTAAAATTGCAAGTTAAAGGAACTTCAGCAGGCTTGGAACTCTTCCTGTCCTAGAACCAGGCACAGGGAGAGAAAAACTTAAGTTTCTTTTCAGCTAGAGGTACAGATTATAGCCAACAGAATTCAGATATGCAAAGACAAGACAGAGGAGGAAAATGAAGGAAGCACCTCAGAGAAAAGTAAACTAGTTCAGGAAAACCTGACAAGCAGAGGCCCTGGCAGAGTGGCCCAGCAAGAACTCCTCTCCATCAGCATTTTTAGCAGGCTGGAGCACTGGGAGGCACAGGCTCACTCCCCAGGGAGCCAACCACAGCATCTCTGTTGCAGCACTTTCTCCCAGTCCTCCCATACCCACAGCAAAACAGGGGTTCCTCTTCTGTCTTAGCAGCGAGCCCAGCTGGGCTCCTTTATTGCAGGGATACTTCTGAGGCAGTAACTTATTCCCTAAACATTTTCTACCCCAGCTTTTAGTCATCCACTTCAGACAATTTGATATGTGGTTGAGGGCAGTTCAAGTTTTCCAAGACAGAAGTAACAAGCCCTCTGCCTCAGTGCTGATCACGCTCATTCAAAGGTCACTCAATTCCACAATGATTTGCATGACCTGTAGCATTTTATCAGCAGCGTTACATCAGATCTTCTTCCTGTGCTGAATGCATGGCACACTAATCTGTCGGAGTTGAACTCATGCTGTTCTTCCTGAGCTGTGTATTTAGTGTACAGCTATGGTTTACTTAATACATTGAGCAAGTGGCTATTTCTAGGATAATGACAGTGATTATGGATCATGCTGTACTGATTTCCCTGACAACAGGTTCCTGGGGAATCACCTCTGTGCTAGGAAATACAGCAGCATAAAGTTATTCACAATTGAAATACCCAACAGCAGTAACAGACATTTAATTTGATGGAAAACACTTATGGCAGGCCCTTTTGTTTCCTTTTTTTTTCTTCCTCCAAGAAAGGGGAGTCTGCAAGGTTAAAAAATGCTGCAATACTCATAGAATATCATGTTTGTTCATGACCCAAAAATTTACTATTTCAGGATTGATCATTTGTTTCACTTTTTTCATTTCTTTCCCCATAGTAAGATAAAATGTCAATATTACATAAACACAAATTAATTTAACCTATATAACCCAATAAACCTTAGGAGATCAATTAGGAACCCATGTCACTTTTTAAAAACTTGAGTTAAAAATGGCTTTACAAGAAGTGGAACCAAAATATCTAGCTTTCACAAAACAGAGTAGAGAGAGCAGACTATCAAATATGCATTAATGTATTCATGCATTTGGCAGCATAACATGTGGAACTCCGGTGATGTGTCTCAAAAGAAAATTCATTTCACCACTGATGCAGCTGTGTTTCTCTCCCACTCACCTTCTCCAAAAGTTAGGGGCGGGGACCCAAACAAAACGAGGAAGATAACCAAAAGCAGGAACACTTCTTGTCACAAGCACAGTTTCCAAACTGGACACCAATACATTATGAACAGTGTAATTTTTTTTTGTAATAGACTAACCACAGACTGTTGAAAAAACCCTGTACTTAAAATATGAAAGAGTACCCGTTGAATTCTGCCTGTCATTTAACAGAAGGAAGTTCTCTAACAACCAGATATTTTCTGTAATTTCATCCTTCCACCATCAAGTACAGCTACACCAGCAAATAGTGTTTACACAAGGAAAACTGCTGCCTGAAAAAAATTCATACTGGTTTCATCTGATCTTCATCTTAGTCTTTTACTTTCCCCTAATCTCACTGGAAAATCAGGTGATTCTTAGCATTTCACACACAAAGCTTATGCCAGCCACTTTAATTTTCAGATGTTCACACTTTAGGCTTTGCCAGTGAAAGAAAGCATTAACAATTCAGAAATAAGCGTTTTTAATATTTGATGTTTTGTCTGGAATGCAGTGGGCCATGACTGTCATTTATCCCCTGTACTCACATAAATCAGGTTTAAAACATGCACCTGAAAATAGAATTTCATCAGTACATTTCAAGCGCTGGCCACAACCTCGTACAACATCTTCTTACACAAGTGGTTAATTTTAAAAAGTTTTTGAGTATGGAATTTCAGGATTCCGCAGCCTCCCTGAGCCAACTTCACCTTTGATGCAATTTTGATGAATGTGATGTAGCTGTGAGAAGGATGATTTTGCCCATTGACTCAATGGGCAATTTAAGCCTATTTGAGGAAAAGCTGTAGATTTTAGACGATGCTTTTGAATTTCACCAAAGAGAGTATTTATGCTGATTTACTGCCAGTGCTCACAGCAGCTCCTCAAAACAGCAACATAAGGTTCAGATGCATTTGCAGCAGGAGATTTTGCAAAGTAGCACTATTTTTACAAGAAAAACATTCTTTTTTTGTAGCAGCATCTTCTGAGCTCGCAAACTGTCAGAACTCTTTTCAGAGGTTCATTCTGTCTCACAGTCTAATAAAGAGCAGCTGAAGCACGAGTTTTGAAAACAAGTCTGAGAATCACTTCTCCCTATAGTTACATTTCATAATTTAAACATGCAAAGCCAAAGGTTTATGAAACATTGCAGCAAACAAGATATAAAACCCCACCCATTTATCTATAAGAAGCACACACTGGAAACCCAGTACAGGTTTCCAAAATCAAGTGCAAAAAAGGGTTCTGAAACGTCTTTGTCACCCCTTTGTGGCTTAATGATTGTTATCTTTCCAGCCACCCCAAAAATAACATTGTTCTTTTTCCTTCTGCTTGGCAATACAACTATCAATTTTCGTTCAAAATATACTACACAACAAAGAAAGGAGAAAACAATGGCTGTCTAAGCTAGTGGAAAGCCTTGCCCTGCTACGCATGCATGCTTTCAGGAACTAAAGTCAGGGTGCAGCCCCACCCAGATGAAAAAAACTTCCTACAGCATTAGCAACAGGGAAAAAAAAAAAAAAAAAAAAAGGAAAAGGTACAAAAAGGTACAGCAAATAATAGTTCCAGAAGAGTTGTTTCAGATAAATATAGCCATAGGAAAGTGCACCCTTTCTACAGGTATCTTCAAATGAGCTCTGGAATTCCTCAACAGTTACTGAATTCTCTATTAGTGTCTGTGGCCTGGCCGATAAAAAGACATCGGTAAAACTTCTAACTGTCTGTTCAGTTCCCAGGATTTATTCCTAAAAGAGCATTATTCTTTGTGGCTGATACACTGCTACCACTGAACTCCGCCCAGCCAAAGCTGCAAGTAGCCTGAAAGTACAGCCTGAGGAGAACAAATTGCTTGCAGCTTGTTCATCCTCTTCTTATCAATGGTATTCACAACGCAGAGGGTCTATTCATGTATTATGAATGAATAGGTTTCCAATGGCAACGTTTCCAAAGGAACAGTTAGGCCTTGAGAGCTGTAAGAAAGGGTGGGGAACCTCTATAATGTTGCTTCAAGGATTGGGGGAGCTGGGGTTTAAAAGTCTTTAAAACAGATATATTGCCTGTCCACGGTCTTTAGAAATAAAGAACAGATTCAAGTCATTTCTAGTAGCAGCCCCAAAATTAGCCAATACAGAAGACACCAAGCAAATTAATAATGATAATCGCCACACAGTCCATTTGTGTAAAAGGCTTGATAAGCTAAATTTGCATTCCTTTCTCTCCCACTATTGCAATCAGCTTGGTGGCTTGTTTAAAACACAGCAACCCTCTTCATTCTTACAGCATGCAGAAGCATAATGAACGATCGAGGGCCAAAACAGAAGGAGTAACCCAGCAGCAATCACCAGGAATAACACTGAGTAAACTTGAGCATTTTAGACCTACCCATCTTTGTAGAAAAATAGCTTAATCAGTGCAGTGCTGAGGATAAAATCCTTGCAGGGACGGAGCTGCAGTTCCCGTAGTAATCCAAACGAACAGACTGTTTAAGAATCCCTATCACAGCATAGTCACTATTAGATGCAGAACAGATTTTGTGCTCTAAGGAATGACGCTCCATTCCACGAAGAGGACAGGTAGAAAGAAAAATGGAAGAATAAGAGGAGGCCCAGTGAAGTCGTCATTAATTTTTTTTTCCCCTAGGTCATTTACAAGTGGGAGACCCCTTCAGGATTCAAACCAATCAATCTTTATTTAGCACATCTTTTTCTCACTCAGCCTGTGTAGAAAGACTGCAGCAAATGGTGCAAGGGATTGTGGGATAGGGATGCAGCAGAGAGCTGCAATGAGATTCGCTGGGTTATTTTTTTTCCTCCCTGCTCAGCAATCAGCTGTTTCGAGGCTCCGCGCAGGGCCATTGAATTTGGTCACCAGAATGTTATTACAGGATTAGCAGGCGGAGACAGCTACCACTGTGCATCTGGCATGTCAACGCAGCTAAGAAATACATATGCAAATATTACTCACAAATTGGAAAGAGGATTTAACTCCGAAGGTGAGAGTAAATATTATGTAACATCCATTCCCAGGGCAGTTGCCACAGATGAAATGAAAGCACTTTCGTTTATAAACAAGATAAAGCTTAACACTTAATGATTCCACCCTAATTCTTCCAGGATTCAGAGTATTTCTTCGAAGGTAATTCTTCCCTGCTCCAACTTTCAGCAACAAAAGACCCCACAGACGCTCTTTGTGTCTCCAGATGTTTAAAGCGGAAGCAAAGAATCTCTTCAGAAAGCTGCACACTACTGACACAGAAACCAGCAGCAGTTTCTTCTACTACAGAGCTGCTATTTGACCTGACTCAGACTCAAGTCAAATATTTAAGGCAGCAATATTCAAGGAATGTAAGAATCAAAGCTAACAGTCTGTTCAACTTTTGTACAAGCATTAATGCAAAGGTGTATTCTCTTAGTTAATTTATTTGCTTGTTTAAAAGAATCTTAAAATCACAGCTCAATTCAGATTTTACTAGGCTATTACCAAAGGAGATAAAAAGAAATTTGGTGTCTGGTATTTTTCAGCTATGCAGAGAAGGTTGTTAAAAAGATGCTTGTGAATACACAGACACTACTGAAGTAAAGCCACATAGAATTAGCTTTGTCTTCCAGTATAACAGCTGGTGGGTTTTGCAGACCAGTATTTGCATCTCTAAATACAGTGTATCTTTTCTTTTGAAAAAACAAATCATATGCAAGTATTTCAGCTAACTGAGGCTAACAAAGCTTCCCACAAATAAAAGGACACAAAGGTCCATTTGCATCAAGAAGAAAAAATGTGGGGTTTAAATACTGTCTGTGCCACTCTGACTTAATTAGGACAGATATAGTTATTTTAGAAGTTTAAAATGTTGTCCTAAGATCTTTAAGCACAGTTTCCAGAATATAGTATTTATGCAATTCTTGGACTGATGAGGTAAATAGTATAGCCATTTAGCATAACTGAGATATAATTTAAATTCCTGTTAAAAATATAGATTCTACGTACATCATCTACTTTCCACTTGGCAATCATTTAGCCAGATTGGTTTTATACATCAGGCAGATCCAGCCTGGTTTCCCTGGGTAATGCCCACAGGGTGAAAGCATGTTGTAATCCAGTTTATAACCTGAAATGAAATATCAGGCAGCGTGTGTGCATGTGTTAGGTTTTTGGGTGCTTGTGCCAAAATACTGCTCCTCTGATTCCCTCAATGTGCTGAACTCTGTCAAAGAAAGAGAACAAGGTATGTTGTCTTAGCTCCAACATTCAGCAGGTCAGAAGAAGCAGGCATTTGCACAGCAGGATTCACAGTTTAAAAAAAGGCCAGAGATTTCAGGCACATTTTTGGAGGGGTGGTTTTTTATGTTTGGTTGAGGGTTTTTTTGTTTTCTTTTTAAACTTTCTAGAGAACCCCCACTGCAAAGAGCAAGCAACACATTTCCTCCCACAACAAGGAGATCCAAGGCCTTTTGTTTCTGCCACTGGAACAAAGACACACTTAAAACAAAAATCAAGAAAGAGAATTCAGGAGTGGCACCCCAGAGCCGAGGTGGAAGACACTCGGACAGAAGCATACAGACATCACCTAGCTGCTTATTTTTCCTTGCTCATTTCAAGCATCAAATTTATGTACACTAAAACAGAATGACAAGTATTGCTCAAATTACTATTTCCATTCATGGTCAGTAGTAAGGACTAAATACCCCTCAAACCAGAACAAATCCCGTAACATACCTCATGGCCAAAGGAGACTGCAGGAGTCACAGCTGCAGCCACTCTCACAGGGTTCTACACCTCCAAATGAGAGATTGCTTCAATGTGCAGTTCTCCAACTCTGAGAAGCTGCCTGCTGGCAATGGGCTGAAATGCTGCAAACAATCCTGCTTCTTCAACAAAACAAAACTGTGGTAGTGTGGCAAGGAAAACGAGACAAAAGTCATAGGATTTCCCTTGAGATTTTTGTTCTCACATGTTGAATGTTGATACGTGGGTTCCTTCGCCCTAGTGAAGAGGAAATGGATTGTAGCTCAATGAATAGTCTTGTACTTTACCCCCATAGCCGTTACTACCTGTTTCAAATAGGTTTATTGTATATGGATGTCTTTTGAGTTGGGAGATGGGAGTGCGGGTTGTTGTTATATGTTTCATTTGGTTTTTGGTAGGTTTTAAGAAAAAAAACAGGCTACTTGCCCTCAGAAATGTGCTGTGCTCATTGTTGCTGGTGATTTATCTGCATCACTACTCACCAGTGAAGTATGTTCTGGAAAAGAAAATACATAGCGCATGCCATCTTCACAGTGCCATGGAAAAGGGATCTAGTCCCTGTTATCATCCCCTGTAAATGTCATGCTTTTTGAATAATTTATTTTTTTCCCTGTTCCAAATACAACCGGAATTCATATTCTTAGGGAGCCCCTAAACAGTAAGTTACAGAAAACCCCCACAGCTAATTTACCGACCATAGGTAGACATTGGTATACCCTTCCCTAATATTAAATAAGTCATCCAAACAGTCCAGGTTAAGACTAATGGTCTGCACTGAAGCCTGTGCTATAAATTGACTGAAGGGAGAGTAGTCTAACTCAGCCTGCTGTACAAAAGAGATTTTAAGGTCAACAGAAAAAAATAATTATTAGGTTAGCCCAAACTAAATGGCCAGCTAATACAGCCCTAGCAATTAAAACTGACTGGAAAATAAGAGGTGGGAGAGACCAGAAATCAATTACCCAAAGCTGACGTGCTGGGAACAAGGGCTAGTTTGGGAACACAAATATAGGATAGGATGGACTGTTATAGCCTTCACACAGCTCCATGTCCTTAATTTGACCCTGGCGCCAGGAAAGCAAGTGGGGTGAAACAAGCAAGCTCTGTCATTGTGGGACTGTGCCCACACCAGGAATCAAGGGGCCTTAGTCATCCTCACAAGCCAGCAGCGGTGGAGGCACCTTTACCTTTCCTGACTGTGGCTGTGCACCCATGCAAACCCAGCAGCTCCCACAGAGCAAGTGCAACTTCTAGCCCCAACTCCACATTCTCCTGTAGCCCAGGCTGTGGCTCACATAGGCCAGGAAAAGCCACAGCTTCCTCCCACTGTGGGCTTGTAGCTAGAGGGCATGTCTGCCCTGAAAGGAGCTCTGCTAGGTCCTGGTTCCTCCTCACCAGCCACAGCCTAGAGCCATGATCACTCCCCCATCTTGTGATCCAGTGGAGCATATGCTTTGCCCCAAAGCTTGTGACCCAATACCTGGCTTGTCATAGCCTGGGAGGCAAAGAACTTGAAAGGTTTGCCTGGGATGTAATGCTGGGCTGCTGGAGACCTTCCCGACCTCCCCAGAACCTGTCCTCCTACACCTCTACCACCTTATTCTATTTCCTTCTACCTTCTGCTTATGCTTAGTTTAGCTTGCCAAGGTTGTGACTTTTGTAGCACAACTGCAGGTAGGCTGTGATAGCCTGGCCTCCCTGCTCAGCCAGCCCAAGCTTGGCTGATGTGACTGCACATGTGACAGCAGTGATGTTGCAAGTCAGACAGCACCAAACACAAACTGCTTTTCTCCCCTCTGTGTTCCTCCTTCTCCTTCCCCTTTTGCGTATTTGCCATTGAGGTGGCAGGACACCAGAAACAAGCTCTGTATTCTGGCATTTCTTCTCCATGGCAATGAGCTCACCTTCAGTACCACTGCCAGATATTGATGTCATGAATGAGGTTTCTTTTAAAAGCTTTCCACTGCTAAAGGCATGGGAATAACAGGAATAGAAGACGCTGCTATAAATGAAAAGCCTTGTTTTATAGTTTTACATGTTCAATGCTTTGCTACTTTTTCCTCCTTCCTTTCCTCAGTCTGTAATCAAAGCTTATAACAGGGCGAACATGGGTGGGCCTCTTAAGACATCAACATACTAATGCTTTATACTCCAATTTGTAGAGGAGGGAAGGGTTATGGCTTGAACCTAATAACCCCTTTTCTTCTCTCTTCCCGTCCCCACAACTTCTGCCTGCCTTTACAGCATCCCTTTGGTGGTGCAATAGTCCTGCTTCCATCCCCACAGACCCCATCTCCCAGCTATCCTGTCCTTGGACGGAGAGGGGACCTGCTGGTGGCTCCCCTGCACACAGCAAGGGACAAGACCAGGAGGTTAGAGCTTGTGTGATCACACAACCATCACTCAACTAAGATACAATACCTACTTTAAGGCTGTTTGTCTGTCTGAGGTTTTCAGGACCTCATTTTGGGTCAAGGCCTTGCACGATAAATTCCAAGACACTTGGAGCACACTGGATTTACTGCACATGCAAAGACAATTTGAGAGTTTGCAGTGGAAGTCCATGAATCCCCAACCAAATGGGAAACATTGTCACAAATGAGATTTCAGAGAGAAGGGGTAGGAAAAGAGGAGAAAAGGGCATGCCGAGGAAAATCATAGTATTAAACTGTCACATATCAGGTTAAATGACAGCCTCAAAGCTGTCATTTAGGGCCCTTTCCATGTTTAA